AATGAAAGAGAAGAAGTGAGTGAGGAGGAAATGTAATTAAGGTTGTTTGTTTTTCATTAATGCGTGTGTCACTAAGGAGGGAGAAGGGAGTTGCGTCTGAGGGTAGTAGAGGCACAATCAATAGCTAAATATTCTCTCCTTGTTAACAACAAAACTACTCTTGCTATTCTCTTAATTAGACCAACAGTATTGTCATTAGGTGCAAATACTCAAAATTGAATGTCTGATAAAACGTTTTGATGAACATGCACCATGTCCAAAATCTTGATCAGACCAAACCAGATGCAATCGAACCGGATAATTACACATAACCGGAATCGTTAACCCAAAAAAAAAACTTCAAACATCAGAATTTTTTTCTCCAACTTACTGAGAAAAAATCCAAATGGCCTCGAATGTCGGAAATCGAATCAGATTCCTGAGTTTCGGGAAGCTTCCACAAATCTCTGCTTCACTGTTGAGAACCCATAATCCTCGTAGCCTCTCTGTTCTTCTTCATCGTCCTGTTCCTCCGCTTCAGCGTCGTTGCGTCTCTGTCGTTCATCGTCGTACTCTTCTCTGGCTTCGCTCATCTCCTCCTGTGTCCTCCATGACCACTCAGGCTGAATCTGGGGCTCCTCAACAATCCGATTCTTCCAAAACGGTGACCTCTCTTCCTTGGAATTCTGACTAAAGTTGAGATTTTTTTTTGTCAATTGTGTTTTGGGGTATTGAGTCCGTCTGATTCTGGTTGAAATTAGGGTTTGAGTTTCGTATCAATGTGTGGTTGATGATTGCTTTGCCTCGTTTGAATGAGTGATCCATTGCTTATCAAAACATGGAACTCAGATTTATGCTTTTATATGAAACTACGATGCTTGTTAAGGTTCTAGACTTGTTATTAGTCAAATGTTGGCGACTTAAAGTTTCAAACTTGAGAGTTGAGACCATCAAAAGATAAGAGTGAGAAGCAAAGTCAGATGCTAATATCTATCAACTGAAATCCATCTGCATTTTGTTTTGCATCTGATGGGCTATTGAAGTTTCTGTTTTTGATCAGTTTATTGGTATCTTGATGCTGCTTTGACATGATCATGTCTATTCTTCTTTATCCAATTTTAGCAACTATTCAAGCGAAATAGTTCTTTGAATCACCATCGCGATGACCTTGCTGATTAGATAGATATCTAGTTTTAACCATCGGATTATTTTGGTTCTCTGGTTTTATGGACTGAGTATGTCAATGTTGGTGTGCAGGTGAGGATGGTGATAAAGGGAAGAGTGCAGGGAGTGTGTTACAGAAACTGGACTGTTGAGAATGCAGAACAGCTCGGGATAAAGGGATGGGTCAGGAACCGCAGGGACGGTTCAGTGGAAGCACTCTTCTCTGGACCATTACAAGCTGTCGAAGAGATGCAGCAGAGGTGCCGCCGTGGCCCTCCTACAGCTATGGTTACTGGATTGGAGGCTTTTCCTTCCACTGAAGAACCGGGAACAAGTTTTGAATACAGATCAACTGTCTGATTGATTCTCTTTTAACAC